GACTTGATGTACTTCAAAACTCATGTAAGTACAATTAGGTATCTCTTATGTTCTCTCTCAGTTGACTCAGATGATGAATAAATACCAGCTTCCACAGGGAGATACAACAGCAAGACAAAATCTTATGCTTACGTCTAAAATATCCAGACAGTTTTCCTCGGCAGCAATATATATGGCAGTTTTATCAGAACTGTCCATTACTCTGATGTTTGCATCACGTTTCAACAAAGCATCGGTCGCCTCCTTGTTCCCCTGGGCAACAGCGACCAGTAATGGAGTGTAGTTGTCTTTGTCCCTGCTTTCAATATTTGCTCCTCTGAAATAGAAGGTTCGGAGAGATTTTATTTCCATGTGTATAGTACTAGGAAATACTGCAAATTATAACCTAACAATCATCATCACCATCATCACCACCACCTCAACACAACCACCACAATCATTATCACCATCATCATCACAACCATTATCATCACCAGCTTCATCACCACCACCATCGTCACAACCACCACTATCATAATCATCATCATCATGACGACAATTATCATCACCATCACCACCTCAACACAACCACCACCATCATTATCACCATCATCATCATCATCACAAACATGATCATCACCAGCTTCATCAACACCACCATCATCACAACCACCACCATCATAATCATCATCATCATCATCACCATTATCATCACCATCACCACCTCAACACAACCACCACCATCATTATCACCATCACCATCACAAACATGATCATCACCAGCTTCATCACCAGCACCATCATCACAACTACCACCATCATAATCATCATCATCATAATCAAGATCATCATGACCATCACCAGCTTCATCACCACCATCATCATCACAACCACCACCATCATAATCATAATCATCATAATCAAGATCATCATGACCATCACCAGCTTCATCACCAGCACCATCATCACAACCACCACCATCATAATCATAATCATCATAATCAAGATCATCATGACCATCACCAGCTTCATCACCAGCACCATCATCACAACCACCACCATCATAATCATAATCATCATAATCAAGATCATCATGATCATCACCAGCTTCATCACCAGCACCATCATCACAACCACCACCATCATAATCATAATCATCATAATCAAGATCATCATGACCATCACCAGCTTCATCACCACCATCATCACAAACACCACCATCATAATCATCATCATCACCACCATCATCATCATCACCACCTTCATCATCATCATCACAACATACCTGTAGATTTTATTTTTGTGGAGGTAGCCAATCTTTAAATGGAGCTGGATTATTCCACATTCTCGAACCCAGAGCCCGTCTTACACACGGTCAACAGAGCATGACAAGGGTCGCGGGGTACGAGAATGGGTTGCGCGCATTTGCCGCAACTGCAGATCAGAATTTAGCCTCTGAACGAGAACAAAATGCCACTGAGGTGTGCCAATGTCATGTTTATGCACGTACTCTGGGTATTTTAGTCTTAACAAGTGCATGTGTTATTTATTTAATACAGAATATAGAAGTGCATTCTGAGAGTGCATTCTTGCAGTTGTTCCAGTTAGTCAGTAACTCCGGGCTTAGATAACATGCTCCAAATTACCTTTGGAGTTAACAACACAGCAAGTAACTTTAACTTGAGTTATACTTAGCTCCAAATGATTTTTGGAGTTAGCCAGTAACTCCGCAATTCATATTTCAACTCAGTTTTGAATTACACAAGTTACTCAAGTGTATATTTTGGTTTGGAGTTAGCCCTTTAGACTTTGGAGGTAGCGTGACTTTGGAGGTAGCGTCGCTCAATAACTTCCTACTTTCTACAGACATGCATCACAACCACCATCATCACATCATCATCACCCTTACCATCATCACATACAACTTACTATCATCATTAGTACCATCACTCACCTATCCAGCAACAAATCAATAACAGGCACATTATTAAACAAGGCAGCTTTATGCAATGGTGTTTCATGGTTAATATTCTTCGCTTCGACATTTGCTTTGAAATTCAACAACATCTCCACCGTCTCAATATCTCCAGCCGTGGCAGCCAGATGTAGTGGTGTAGCCATGTTCATGCGTACTGCGTTCACTTCGGCTCCTTTAAACAACAGATACTGAGCTGTTTTCTTTGCACTCGCGTCTACAGCAATATGCAGTGCTGTTTGACCTTCCCGGTCCACCTGAAAAGAAAAACAATGCTATTAAACCAAGGATTTCCATTTTACTCGAAACTTAGTCTTGTGATCTTACTATGTGGTCTTACTATAGACCCATTGTCAACAAGATACGGAACAAGTTGTTATCATCTTGTAAGAAGGTTGATGAGGCCAACAGGTCTTGTTCCAACAAGTCTGATATCGTCTGCATGTATTAAGTTGCTTGTGTGATGTTACTCTGAGTGTATATCCACACCGGGCAGGTTTGAAAAATATGCCTGGCCACGGTGGGATTCGAACCTACGACCTTTGGAATACTAGCCCAATGCTCTCCCAACTGAGCTATGCGGTCAGGTCGGTTCGAGTATGCGATATTTCGGAACTGAGTCTAGTTCCATCGATATCAGTGTAATCTAATAATCATGAGATTTTGCTGTGTTGGTGTAATGTACTCAGGTGAATAAGAACCGACCTGACCGCGTAGCTCAGTTGGCAGAGCATTGGGCTAGTATTCCAAAGGTCGTAGGTTCGAATCCCACCGTGGTCAGGCATATTTTTCAAGCCTGCCCGGTGTGGATATACACTCAGAGTAACATCACACAAGCATCTTATTCACCTGAGTACATTACACCAACACAGCAAAATGTATTAAGTTGTTAACATAAACAAGTTGATGACGACAAGCTCATAGCAACTTGTTACGAACAGCCTGTATTAGTCTTGTGGAAACACCTTGTAACAAATCTGTTATCGTCATCAAACTTGTAACAAGGTGCTAACAACTTGTCCCAGACGTTTCTCCACAACAGGGAACAAGCAGTGTCAACACATCCTGATATCAGCATGACAACAACCTTGTTACAATTTGATTGTAGATCTGTAACAACTTGCATGTTTTTACGTGTGTAGTTCAGACACAACCAGATAAGTACAATAAAATATAATCACAAACCTCGGCAATAATCCGTTCCACTAAACTCATGCCACCGCCATCTTCTGCAGCATCGACAACAACCTTGACACAATCAACTCTTTCGCTCATTGCTGCATAGTGTAGTGGAGTCATTTTCTCGTCATCTCGAGCCTGTAGGTCTGCCCCCGCCCCGATGAGGAGCTTAGCTACATTAGGATTACCTTGAGTACACGCCTCATGCAGGGGGGTTGCCTTCTGCTTGTCTCGCGCCTAAAGAAAGAAGGCAATGCATAAAGGCTCTTCTCCACTTATCACAAAACCAACTCGCAAGCCATGCTTTTTGCACAGAAAGCATTCACAAAAATACCATTCGTTCTTGCTGGTTTTTTCCGTCTTAATTAAAACTGTCGCTGCTATAAAATTACATACCGCAGACTCAATCTACATATAACTCGGCTATCTGCTAGCAGGTCTGGCCGGGGCATTGGGGGGTATTCGATACCATAATACTGCAAGCAAATTTTGTCAATAACCGCAGTTTTTGAGTCCAAAATTGCAAATACCGTGTTCCGCAAGATTTCCAATATCGTAATACCGCAATTTTTCAAGGAAAATACCGAAATACCGTAAGAAAAATAATCTAATACCGCAATATCGTAAATCTCAATGTCCCCCTCAGGTCTGCTAGTCTTATGTGTAGGTTGTGCTATAATAATGATTATCAGACTCTGCCACATGCCAACAATTTTACACAGGGGCGCCGGAGCCACGGGGCAGCTGCCCCCGTTGCCTAAACAGTGGGGGGCAGCACGGGGGCAGCAGGTTGCCTTTTTTACCAGAACTGCACTTCGAACGTCGTGCGTTTTTCACATGAATTGAGATTGAGAACTGTTTTTAAACAATTTAACTCATATTTGAATCTGAATTCCTCTCAGAAACGTTACCAATCAGTTTCCACCTATGAAAAAAAGTGAAAAAGAAAGCCTTCCTAAATAACTGACAACTGTCATGTTGCTTTACAATACATTTTAGTCTTAGTGCCATGCAACGAATAAAAATGTTCCAATCCAGTCCGAAATATTAACTGTATTAGCTACAAGTAACGAAGTATCCGTTATACAGCAAAATGTTAACGAACATTGCCCCCCCCCCAAAAAAAAAAAAATTAAGGCTCAAGAATAAGTGCCCTTTTTAAATGGCTGCCCCCGCCGCTTCATGTTGCTTCCGACGCCCCTGATTTTACACACTTACAGTGACATCAGCTTTGCCATATTTGAGCAATTCTTCAACTGATCTAGGGTTTCCCTTCGAGGCTGCATAATGGAGTGGGGTTGAGCCGTAGTTGTCCTGAGAGTTTACATTGGAACTGGATTTTTGAAGTAAGCAGTTCAAGATTGATTCAGACGAGTCTTCGGCACTGTCTACTGTATCTGGTGTTTCCACTGTCAAGAGGTTTCCGGTGGGTTCAGCATTTCTGTAGAGAAACATGGGAGGTTACTTGATTTATATTTAATAGACAATTCCCATTATAGACTAATCTTAAAACTAGACAAGGAGATGCAAATAAATCACTACAGCTAGAAAGTGCATACTAAAATTAGTAAATTTGTAAAGTTTGGTTGCAAAATGTTGTAAAATGCGGAAAATATAACCTTGCAAAGTTTGCAAACTTTGTATACTTTTGTATTGCGTGTGGAAATTGCTACCATTTTCGGCCGTCAAATGTGGTAGGAATGTGGTAGGAATTTCCGCACGCAATACTTTTGTATACAAAATTTGCAAACTTTGCAAGGCTATATTTTCCGCATTTTACAACATTTCGAAACCAAACTTTGTAATTTTACTAATTTTAGTATGCTCTTTCTAGCTGTGGTGATTTATTTGTATCTCATTGCCTAGTTCTAAAATTAGTCTATAATTTATGGGAATTGTCTATTTATAGACATGTGTTACTCTCTAACATTAGTATAAAGTACGGCCAAAATACTGTACAGAGTGAGCATGCACACACTTACTCCTGACTAGCTTCTTCGGCAGTTATATCAGTAGTTGACTGAGTGGATCGCAACTGTTTCAAGACATTCAGAGGTCTGTATCGTGCAGCAAAATGCATGGGTGTGGCACCATCCTCACCCGGGATATTAGGATCTAGAAAATTAAGAATATCACCATAAATCTAGATCCACCATTTTGTCAAGTAATATTAACCCATAGAGCGCCAATGCTCTATCCTTGACAAGTAAAATGGTCTGGTTTTAGACAGATCATTATATTATAGTATAATTATAATAAAGTAGAGCACATTAGGGTGCAATATGCAACTTGGGTTAACTATATATAGACACATGGGGGAGATAATTAGTCTGATCAGTGGCGTAACACTCATTAGGTAGGCCGGGTTAGTTCAAAAACTAAGGGCCCCCAACAGTTAGGCCCCCCCATCAGCCAAAGCCTATTGCCCAGAAAATTAGAAAATGTAAAAAATGCAGGTTAAGAATCGATGGGAAAATGCAAAATTAATAATGCTAAATAATAAAGCCTCCATCAACAATGGTATTAACTGCATGATTTTGTTATTCTATCTCAAATAAAACAAATGTTATTCTTTATATTAGGAGCCAATTACATGGAGCATTTTTAATCCCAGGGTTGAACGCAGCCCTGTTGACCCGAGTTATTCAAGCATGCATGCGTGGTAGTGACTGTTTATTACAAGAAAACAAAATGGAGGCTATGGAGCCGTTTTTACTTCTGGGAATCAATGCCGGGAACAAATAGCATTTCAACCCCGGGGTTGAAATCGTCCATGTAATTGCAAAAAATTTCAACCCGGTTAACAGGGCTGAGTTCAACCCTGGAGTTGAAAGTGCTCTGTGTAGTCGGCCTCTTATTTGTGTTGGAGACTGTTGTTGTTATAGACACAGAATTTTCCAGAACATTCTATAAATATTCAATATAGCTAAATATTCAATATAGCTATATATATATATATATATATATATATATATATATATATATATATATATATATATATATATATATATATATATATATATATATATATATAAATATATATATATATATACCAAATATGTATTTAGAATCATATATGAGTAGAGTGCTCGATATACCGAAGTATAGAGCTAATATATATATATATATATATATATATATATATATATATATATATATATATATATATATATATATATATATATATATATATATATATATATATGCCACTGAGTCTAATTAACCTTTTAAATTGCATTCAACTAGTCTCCTAATGTGCCCTACATTACCATTTTACTCTGTCTAGCACCAGAAGATTTTACTTGTCAAATGGAGAGCACTGATGCTTAATGTATTAACCCAGCAATAAGTTCTAGCTGTACAACATACACCAGATCACTTTAAGGTAGCTCAGTGAAGAGCATGTTGTCTAAAGTCCTAGACTACTATGACCAACAAGCTAACCTGGTTTAATGATCAATGAAATAATTCAACATACTTGCTCCTTTTTTAATTAAATACTTGACAATTTCAACATGGTTGAATCTGACGGCATAATGCAAAGCTGTGGTGTTTTCGGCATCCTTTGCGTTCACATCTATTTTGCGTTTTGACAGTTTGTTCTTAACGATGTCAAGTCGACCATCTCTAGCAGCCTAGACAGAGGAATATCAAAACATTTACACAGACATTCAACTGGCATTTGATAATACATGCTTCCGGAAAGTAGGTCATGGAGAGTAGTTTTCAAGATTTTGCCATGTGATCCAAAAATATAATGTAGACTATATTGTGTAAAAT